CCCCCACACCCCACCTCCCCGCCAGGATCTGCTCCTCCCCCAAATACACTTCCTGAGACCCTGCCTGCTCAGGCCCTGCCCCAAAATAGTCCAGTTCTTGGGGAGGCAGCTCTTCTGGGCCAGGGTGGGTGTCCTCTGTGCCTTTCACTGTGGTACCACCCCCACCTGCCGTGGCGTGCAGGGGACTGACCTGGGTCCTGGGGTCCCTCCCCAAGGTTCAAGTTTGCGCCCGCAGGAATGTTAATGGTAGTGTTGACGCCAGGGCACTGGGGGCCCGGGGAGTGGGGGAAGGGCACTGGGGAAGGAACCAGGTGCCAACAGCCTGACCAGCTGGGCCTGGCTCAGGCAAGTCACCTCCACATTCTCCTCTGTGAAGCGGAGCTTTGGTGACTGTCAACAACCAGCTTCATGATTCAGGTGATGGGGCCACTTGCAGAGCCTGTCTGGGAGAACCGGAGACGGAGACGGGGCGGGGCAAAGGCGGCCTCCTCCGCACTCTGGGGCCAAGGCGGGGCTCCCTCAGGACTTCGGGCCTGGGAGGAAGTGCTCTTGGTGGGGGACTGGGATACTGGGGGCCTTCCTCTCTCTCCCCACTGGTGTGGGTCCGAGGCCGGTAGCCTGGCTGGACAGCCTTATCCTGAGGCGGGCAGTATTTCCCCCTTCCTGTTTGTGTTCCTGGGCCAGGTTCCTGCCAGCCCAGCGGCACAGGGGTCCCCATTCCGCAGCTGTGTGGCCAGAGGCGGGTCTGCTGCTCCCTGAACCTCTGTGCTCCATCCCCACCACAGGCAGTGCAGGAACAGCTACTCCCAGTGCGGTTGCTGAGGGTGGGACTGGGGACTGTTCCGCGTGGGCCAGTGGCAGGACCAGGCATGAGGGCCAGCAGGAGCAGAGCTGGTCACGCCTCCTCCTCCTTCCCCCACGCAGGTTCCCAGCACAGGGTGTGCCCAGGGCTTGCTGTCGACACCCTCCCTCACCGGCCCCAACACCCACAAGACTACCCTGGAGAGATCTGAAAGTGCAGCCGGCTGTGCCCAGCTCAGGGGCCCTTCACCGTTGTGCCCACCCCCAGCCCAGCAGACCTGTGCCCCCTGCCTGGCGAGTCCCTTCTCCAAGGAGTTGCCCTCCTGACCCTTTCTTGGGCCTCACGGCAGCTGCCCCCCACCCCCAACCCAACCAGGCTCCTGCCTGCCGGGTGGGGTTTTTTGGCTGGGGAGGCTGCGGAGGGAGGAGGTGGCGGCTGGGTTTCTGGGCAGCCTCAGAACACCTGCCCCACCCTGAGTGCTGGGCAGGGCCTGGAACACCCGGTCTCGGAGGCGGGGGAGCCCCTCCCCACTCATGACCCCAACTCCAACCGCTGGCAGGGGAGCAGCTGTGGGCCAAGTGACCCAGGGACCCTCCTCTGCCCCCAGCCCTGCTAGGTAAGGGCGGGCTGGGGCAGTTGCCCCAGCTCCACACCTACCGGCTGGGTCCCCATGGGTAAGTGGCTCCCCTCCCCCAGCCTCAGTTTTCACATCTGTTACCCACCTTGGGGATTGAGGGGCAGGGTCTGGGCAGAGCAGGAAGGGAAACTGAGGCCAGAGAGTGGCTTACCTGCATTGCCCTTGGCTTAGCGGTGGGCAGGCTGTGGCCAGATTCCTGTCCCCTTTGTTGGCACCACCCCCCCCACGAGTTTGCTATGGGTCTGGTGTGGCTGGAGCTCCAGGCAGCTCCAGGCAGCTCCAGAGCGGCTGGGGTGGCCCCAGCTGGCGGTCCCTCAGGGTTGTGGGGTGCACTGGGGAGCCCTGGCAAGGCCACGTGGAGGGAGTGGGAGGGGGCAGGTGGGCAAGGAGTGGAGGGTTTGGCAGCCATCTGGGAGGCAGAGCAGTGGGGCTGGCCAAGTTCTGTCTGCAGGTTGGGGGTGCGTCCAGGTGGGAGCAGCAAGGGCCCTGTCAGGTGGTGGGGCAGTGTCTGAGTGCCAACGTGAGTGAGATGGGCCCAGGTGGCCAGGACAGAGCTGTGCAGAAGGGAGACAGGGCCTTGCCCCTTCACTGCCTGGTTAGGGAGAAGGGGCCTGTGGAGGAGATCATGTCATGGGGTTGCCAGGGGTACAATTCTTGGGCTGACACCTTGTGCAAGGCTGGTTTGGCAGGTGAAGGAAATGGAGGTTGTGGCTCTGCTGGAGGGTCATGGAGGCCAGGGGTCTGGGCCTGGCCACCCGAGCAGTAGGAAGGTGGTGGGGGTGGGATGATGTGGGGGTGAGTGTTGATGCCTCCTGGCACTGACCCAGCCTTGCCTGCCCTCACCTCCTGCCCTTCTCTTCCCTCACTTGAGAGAACCTCCTCCAGGAGACACCATCCCCCAGCCCTGCCAGGCCTGAGACCAGAGCCAGAGGGGACGTGGGTTGTGAGCCATCTTGCAGAGGGGCAAGGAAAGGCCCCTGAAGCAGTGAGGGAGCGGCAGGGGCCTGCACAGGCAGAGGTGCTCTTGGGATGAGCAGGCATGGCCCTGGGGGTGCCTCTGGGGGAGCAGTGTCTATGGCCCAGCAACCTACACTCAGGGCAGGCAGGGTGGCCCCCGAATCCACGAGGGAATGAAAGCTCAGAGAGGGCATGAGCTTGCTCAGGGCCACACAGCACATTGGCCAGAGCTAGACTACTGCCGGGACTGGGCCTCCCCATCTCCCTTCATGGGACAGTCCCCAAGGCCAGGATACCTACCGCAGGGGACAGGGAGCAGCTGGTCCCCGAGGCCAGCACACCACCCCAAAGGATAGCGACATGCTCCTTCCCAATCAGTGTCCTATCAG